TCAGGAACAATTACGCAATTACAGGAGGTAATTGTGCTCAACTGGTGGTCATTAGGCTCCTCTCCAGACTATAAAAAGCTACGTGTGCACACGCCCCTCTTTGCAGAAGTCAATGCAGGATTGAATGTCGGAGGACATTTACTGGGAGCTTGGCAGACTGGATTGCTGCCAAGCCTTATCTGTGTTTATTGCTGCCCAAGTTTGTCTGAGTTGCTGCCAAGATCCTTAACTATTTATTTTGCTTGGCTTTCAGCCACTGAGGTTTTGGTTTCTTGCTATTAAAGTACATTCCAGTTAAGCTTGTCTCGGCAGTCGTTACTGGACGGAGGAGGGGGTCAGAACAGGAACCAGTACACAACGGGATGGGGAAGGGTCTTCTTTTTAATTCACTAGCCACCCCCAACATGAAATACCTGCATTGGTGCCCCAAGGCAGGTACTGTGGTCCTTTCAGAAGGCGAAGAGTGGGTGGGCAGGTCTCACTTAGAGGACCTATGGTGTTCTAGATTGCTTCTAACTGTGTGAAGGCTCCACAAATTTGTTTCACACAAACACGCACAAAAGATAACATGTTACCTTCACAAGACAGCAGGTCTTCTTGTGACGATTCTGCCGAGGCTCCTTCAAAAAAGAAAAAAATCGACACTGAAATCAGTATTTGATGCAACTCCAGGGAAAAACTGGAGAACAAAACTAGCCACTGTTTAGAAGGAAAAGCGAAGCTGGTGTGATCTTCTCCTAGTCTTTGAATAGTCAGGACTCTGAAATCAAGAGGACAATTGGAATCCTTACCAAGCATTTATTTATTTTTTTAAATAAAAGGTTACGCAGCTCATCTCACCTATAAGGGCGGCTTATAAATTATAAAACAGATCAGAAGATAAAACGCTGAAACATTAGAACTAGTCAGATTAAACTTTTGAAAACTACTGTATTTTTTGGAGTATAGGGTGCACCGGGATTCTGAAGAGGCAAATTAAAAAGGAAAGTTTTGGCACTCTGCAGACCTCCCAAAAATGGCCCGTTTTTTTGTGAAAACGGGCCCATTTCTTTTAAAAAAAAGGACATGAATAGCTTTTAGGAGGCTTATAGAATGCTGGTGGGGGCTACCCCCCCCCAAACAAGCAAAAAACAGCCTGTTTCTTGTGAAAATGGGCCCATTTTTTGTCAAAAAAGGGCATGCATAGCCTTTAGGAGGCTTATAGAGTGCTCCTGGAGGCTGGGGCAAAATTGAGCAAAAAACAGCCCATTTCCCCATCATTTCTGCCCTCCCCAGCCCCCAGGAACTCTCTGCAAGCCTCCTAAAGGCTATGCAGGGCCATTTTGGTGAAGGGGCGGTGTTTCGGGAGGCCAAAAATGCTGTACTCAGTGTATAAGACGCACCCAGAGTTTCCCCTTTTTTTTTTTTTGAGGGAAAAAAGTGCGTCTTATACTCATAAAAATACGGTACACTTAAACCAGAACTCAGAGATGGATGGGGACGTTTTCTACCCCATCATTAACGTAAAACCAGGCAATCTTACGGGCGTAGCAGGAAGAATAAACCAGACCATAACATGAAACCTGCTTCTCTAGATGTTGCTGACTTATACCTTCCAGCGTTCCTCGTAATTGTCTATGTTGGTTAGGGCTGCAGGGGTGTTGCTGCTAAGTAACACCTAAAAGGCTGTTGGTTCCCCAGAATGGTTCAAAGCATGAAATTAAACACCTCCAAGGTCTTCCTTGTGCGTGTCTTTGAACAGGGGGGGGAAAAACCCAGTTTCACTACCGCTCACTGAAGTATAAATAATCACCATCTCCTGTTTTCTCTGTGGCCAATTTGTTTGGCAGCATGGCGTGCAGAAAGCTACCCAACTGACCTACGTGGGCTCAAACTGGGCTCAAGGCACTATTCCTAGCAATTCTGTCCAAAGCAGTCTAGCTATCAGTGAAACAGGATGACAAGGCT